GTAGGGGGAAGTATATGAGAGTCATGTTCCATTGCTATAAATGCATTAGCCCTCTGCATTAGCACAAGTGCAAACTCAACGTTTAACACATTTAGCCCAAAATTTAAAAAAAAAATAAAATAAAAATGCCCCTAAGTCTGCGGAAGTTTGTGCAACTTGGAAAAAGATGGGTTACTGCGAAATTCTTGGCTAGAGACATAGAAATCCAATTCATTTGAATCTGTTGCACATTTTCTGGATATGCCTAACCATCAATCAGTTTAGACAATATGGGAATATGTACAAATGGTCTGGCTTTGTATAGCACGCCTATATTCCTAAGAGGTAGTTGTGCCGATGCATTGGAATATGGTGACATGATTAATCTGCTCCAGCAATTCGTGGGTTAAGTGGCTTGCCAGAAGACAAGTTAATGATGTACCACGATCATTTAATGAAGATTGATTGTCATCGGAACAAACGGGTAAGTGGGCAAGGACAAAGAAGCTCACTTTTGGGAGATTCACTGGAGATGGAAGGAGCTGTGCTCCGGCTGAAGATAATCCACACATGTGGCACTGGACAGGAAAACCTCAAGCAGTATGGGGAGAGGGAAGAACATCCCGTTTCGGCCATGCTGTGGGCCACTAAAATGAGGCGTGGTGGGAGGCCTCCTGGTAAGGGTCAGAAGGTATTCCAGTTTTCCCATTTGCTGCTCCACGAATTGCAAAAGTAGCTGCTGTTAACTGCTAGTGTGCCTTGTACTCTGCTGTTTCTGAAACTCCAGTCCAAAGCACCTTCTGCTCAATTTAGGCTAGGGGCAAAGAATCCTGATGCGAAGGAGAGTAGAGAAGAAAGGTGCAAACAGAGGAAAGTGGAAATGAATGGACAAGAAAGAGCAGCGCTTCACTTCAAGGCCAGAGGGTGGGCAGGCAGGGCAGGAGACAAGACGGCACGCGGCATTGGGCTGACAGTCCAGTGGCAGGATCCACCAACAGGCCACGGTCTATACATATTCAGAAGTGTCACGCGGAACTTGAGTACTGAAATAAAACAAATGCAAATGCATGGAATGCAGAGTTAAAGAGACTTTTAGAATTGGAAGCAAATGGAAACCAAAGACAATGGCATTTTATTGGCAGGACGCAACATCACTGTCCCAGTTTCCTGATTCTTGGTTAACCTCTTTCTCCTCCTTGAAGACGTTTTCTTGAAGCGATGCTTGGATTTAGCCTTCACGCAGACTTGAAGTTTACTGGGTGACTTTGGGCTAGGCATGCTCAACCCAGCCTTCCTGACAGTGTTGTTGTGAGGAGATGAGGATTATGTAAACTGCCTTGGGGTCATAGAATCATAGAATCATTGAAAAGTGGAGCTGGAAGGAGACAGGAGGTCATCGGGTCCAACCCCCCCACACTCGCTACTTCTTTGCAAGAGGAAATACATGTGCAAGTAAATGTAAATAAGGATTTACAATGGTTTCCAATTATAACTATACTGAAAATTGCAAACCCAAAAAGACCGTCTCACACAATACACACAGCAAATCCAGGACTGCCACCAAACGGACACTCAGGAGACATTTGCAGTCCCATCTGTACAGCACACACATTTTCAAACATGTGTTTGCTGCACTTATGCAACATTTTCGAAAGAGCAAGGTCAAACATTCATACATATTTCATCAGTAAACTAGGAAGAAATCTGCCTCGGTGTTTTTGGAACTATATATGAGATAAGCTGGTACAAGGCATGGGTATCATGACCACAAAACCAGTGGATGATGCACCAATTAGAGAAAGAAGGAAGGAGTGCAATGTGGAACCACATTCCGGGTAAATTGGGGGTGGGGGCACGGCAACTATCTTATGAATGAATGAATGAGAGAGGAAGGGTGGGGGGCATCACTCACACCCGCAATATACTCCCCACCCCTAAACATCACCCTCTTGAAGTCTTCGAATGGGCCCTTGAATTGGGGAGCAGGGTGAGCATTTTGGTAGGAAGATGGTATATTTGAAAAGAATCAAGCCAAAATGTGAGATCTGAACAAAGATCAATCAGTGATCTATAAGGTCTAAGTAATTCCTGTAATTTCTGGATATGGGGGGTTTTAGTCACCAAGGTGAAGTCAAAGGAATATAATCTATGTGGACACAGGAGCATAATATTTATCAGTCTTCCCCAGATTGGTGGCCTTCAGAGGCAGTTGGACTGCAATTCCCAGAATTCCCATCCAGCAGGCCATTGACTGGGGATTCTAGGGACTGTAGTCCAAACACGTCTGAAAGGCAAAGGTTGGGGAAGACTGAATCTACGCGGTTCACACAGCATGAGCAACACATGGGATGGGTCCACGCTTAACACCAAGCCATGGTAGAAAGCACTGCGGCGCAGCTTGTCTTTGCAAGTGAATCCAGCATCCACGGTGAAGCATGGTATGCTTGGTTTCCAGGAAACAACAGCTTGTTGCGGGGTTTCCACGCTTCAGCATGACTTGTTTTGCCGTCTGAACCCAGTTACAATGTTTCCACATGGTTTCCACATTTGCACCATGGGGTTTGGCGGCAAGAGTGGGAACGGCTGCGGCAGACGCTCTGCCTGTGCTCCTTGCAGTCTGTATCTGACCAGCAATGGCTGAATCGCCGGTAGCAGCGTGGGCGTTGGCTGCTGCACGAGCTCTGCCTTCCTCGCCAGTGTGTGGCTGTCTGATACCCCACCACAGTGACAGGATGCTACTCGCAGTGGGGGCTGTGCCGCGTCCGTGCCGCGTCCGGCAACAGCAAGCACGTGCACCTTGCATCTGCCAGGCCTAACTGAGGTAGGAACTTGCTGCCTTTGTGCAACAGACTCTCTGCCCATTGCCTTTGTTGGCTGGGACACATGATAGCCAGTGAGCAGTAAAGTAAGGAGCAGTTAATTTCCTTCGTTGTTAAAGAATATCATTTGCAGAAAACCTTTCCCAGGAAGATGAGGAAAGCATACTTTGGTTCCTCTAATTATACTCTGACAAAAACAATGGAGATAAATTAGGCTACAGGATAGTGACTGAGTTCACATCAGTGACTGGCTTGGTATGACATGACAAGCTACGCTGTTTTTAATCACCATTCGTTGCTCCATCCAAACCCACCAGCTGTGGTATTTCAGCACAGCGGATTTAGTCCTTAAAAACCAGAATAAGAAATCACGGTTTGTTCTATGGGTTCTTGTGAGGTCCAGACCTGGGATCTTTGTTTCCACACTCCTGGTATTCGACTACCATAGAGTCCCCTGGAAAGAGTGGCTGTTCCAGGAGTCTCTCCAGCCATCCAGCCTCTACTAACCATCTCTGCCAGTAACAGATAATGACTCGCATTGTTCCTACAAACTGCTCCCTGCTCCCACCCCACTGCACATTTTCTGTTGTCATCCGGATGTCCACCTGTCATTTTCTAGCAGCAGAGAAGCACTCAGCTCTGCCTGAAAGAGCGGCCTTGGAGTCAGCTGGTCTCTGTCTGCTGCAGTTTTCCCAGATGCCAGTCTGAGCCGTCATGCCTTTTATTTCCATTCCGAAAATAATATTTGGATACTTGGACATCCCTGCTAGCACAGGGGAAAATGCTACAATGGGCAGGAGGCGATTAGACTATCGGCACAGTTTTTAGCCAAGACAGCTTGCTCTCCAGCAGAAAATTTTAGAAGATATTCCTGAGATAGTAACCTGTAATTTCTATCTGTGCAGGCTTGCTTTGGGGTTGGGAAGCATTCTCTGGGTTAGAATAAGGACTGCAGTGCATTTCAGTGAGGGCTGTGGGGAATATTCCCATAACAGTGTGGAAGAAGACTGAGCAGGGGCTGAAACCTGTGGATGTTCAGGAACATGTGGCCTTCCTGCTCCCCCTAAGGGACGGGAGGACACATGGGCAAGAAAAGGCAAGAAGTGCCTGTGGGTGGTGATGGATGGGGAAAATGAAGCTGGTTGAGGGGCAGTACATCGTGGCACCTGGCATGGAGGGGTGGGGGGCAGGCGAGAGCCAGCGTGCCGCAGCGGGCGGAGTGCTGGACTGGGGACATCCAGGATATGGTCCTCACTTGGCCAAGGAGCCACCTGGGTGACTTTGGGCACGTCACTCTCTCTCAGCCTAACCCACCACACTGGGTTGTTGCTCTGAGGGCGAAAATGGAGAGAAGGAGAACTACAGTATGTAAGCTGTGATGGGTTCTTCACATGAGAAAACAAGGTGGGGTATGAATGCAGATGTAATATTTACAAGAGAAGATGGAATGAGGGAGGGATAATGGGATGCTGAACACTTGGTACCCAAAACCAAGCCAAAAATGGAAAGGGGCAGATTTTGCTGAATGCAGAGAGCCCCAAGTTCACCACTCAGCACCTCTCATTAGGGCTGGGAAAAGCTCCACCTGGAGGGCAAGTGCAGGCATCACGGACAGTGCAGCACTTTTTGTAAGACAACTCTGTAAATCTGCCAGTCTTCACTTTATTCTGTGCCAATCCATCCACGTCTATCCATGAAGGATGGGCAGATGTGGATTAAAGCCAGCATGGCTGGGCTGCAGGGGTTACCAGCTCTGGGAAGGAGTCCTTCCTGAAACATGCTGGTCCTGGGGGATTCATATGGAGGGGGATGTGGTGGAAATGCATGGAATGATCAAGGCAGAGGGTGTTGGAGATGGGGGTGCAGGGCGGGCTGATGAAAAGAGAAACCCCCATGCCTGATCATTAAGGTGTGGGGGCAGAAGGCACTTCAGCAGGTGTGGTGCAGGCAACAAAGCAGGCATGGACTGGGAGACCGTCAAACAATGCCCACCCACCTGCTTCCTGTGGGGGGAAATACAAGGGCACAAAACCCTGACTGATGTGTCTGTGGTTCCTAGTCCAAGTCAAGTCTTGGCAGACGTCCAGTGAGGGAATGTTGAGAGGGAGGAGGAGGAGGAGAGCATGAAGGTGGTGTGATGTGGAGAATTGCCATGGGAAGAGGTGATTTCTCTGGGAGGCTTCATTCATTCAAAGGCAGCTTTTGCTGAGAGCAAAATCAGCAAAACTCAAGTTCACCAAAGTTCTCCACATCTTCCATGGAAATCTTTAGTAAAAGACAAAAGATTTACACGATCTGAAGAAAAAGAAGAGTATCTACATTTTACCTGATGCTTATTCTGACTTGATCTATATCAGATGGAGAGCTTTGTCCTTTCACATAAAATCCACACATTTTCATGCATGAGTGTTACATGTATGCAAGAGTTGTGCATTTTGTCAAATCTATGTGTTCTTCTGTCATTGCCTGAAGTGTATTTGTGTGCATGCATTGTTTCATGTTCTGTGTTCAAACATGTACATGTTGTTGAATGTATTAGCCTATTAATTTTAAATAATTACTGTGGAAAATCCTCCTTACCATAGAGAGTGAGGATGTGAAAGGGAAGAGAGGGAGGTCTTGAAAGCATCACCATAGAGAGAAAGGAAGTGAAAGGGGAGAGAGGGAGGCCTCCAAAGCATGCTTTCCTGTCCTGTCCATCCAGAGAGGGAATTGTCATTTCCTTGCTGCAAAGATGAGACACTGTTGAATTTGAGTAGGGGGAGGCAGAGAATGTCACTTTTTTCCATTTTCATGGGTGTCCTGCACCTCTAACCCCCATGAATGTGAAGGGCTGACTATATGTGATCTGACTTACTTACAAATTCAACTTAAAGATGAATTACTGTTTTCCCAGGAGCAGAATTCATTTGTAACCCGGGGATTCCCTGTACTTTAAGCTGTTTTAAATTCATGTACTAGAATTTTATTCTATGTTTTATACTATTTGCAATTGTATTGGATCTTTTTGTATTTTTGATTAATTGTTTTGAACTGCCCAGAGATTTTCAGCTATTGGGTGGTATAGAAATAAGTGAATGAATGAATGAATGAATGAATGAATAAATAAATAAATAAATAAATAAATAAACACTTGTTTCCTCACCAACAAGAGTAGTTTGTGCAAGAATCTCTGGAGAGGATTTGCCAAGAAGAAGATTCCAAGAGAGGCACAAGGTGATATAGTGTTATGGTATAGTGTTACATGTTAAATTTGAACTGAAGTATAAGAACAAGTCAGGATTGTAATCCATGGTTTGATCCTGGCTTGTTTGAGTCAACCATGGTTTGAACTAACACACCCCTGCCCCCACATCCATTCAGATGTAATGTGGAATTTTGACTGGGTTTTTTTTTAAGCAGCTGAAGCTTCTGATATCTTCCTTGTGGCCTCAGGAAGGTGGCGGGCGGGGGGGGGGGAGTATCTGAGACTGAACCATTGCTTGTTACAGCTTGCTCATGCATAAGAAGGTCTTATAGGAGTCCTTGACCCATTTTTGTCTCCTGCCTGGATGAAGGCAAGCCAAGATCTGAAATGCATGTACAAACACTACAGACTTTCTGCTGAGTCTCTTAAGTTACAATAGTATGCATGCTTAGTTAGAAAGAAACCTAGAGCTCCCTGCATTGCTTAGCCAGCTTATGCAAAACATTGTGGGGCTTTTTCTCTGGCTAAACCTGTGTAGGATTGTGTCCTCGGTCAGAAATAGCTCACTGATTTAATAGCTTCCAGTGCTGTGGGATTGCCCCTTCCAGTTGACCAGAAGGCAGTGCCCAGGCCAGAGGAGTGAACCATAGAATGATGGGTTTGTAGCCGTTTGCTCTGGCTTCCTGGAAGCAGAACCTTTCCTTTATTTAATTCATGTATTATTGGGACCTGCCAAGCCTTTTGCACCAGTTCCACTGAAATAAAAGGCAAGTTAGAAATGCTAGTAATAGCTGACTAAAGCATTTTATTTCATAAATTTGGTGTGGTGTCCTCACCCTTTGCTCTGCTGATCTTGACTACTTGGTCTATATACATGGCATTAGCCTAATTCCTAGAGGTGTCTGAGCTGGGGGACCCTCCACCTTTCCCCACTGGCGAGCTACAACTCCCCTGTTGGCATGCTCATTCAGCCAGTTGCACAGGTTGGGGAATTTCAACCAAGTGGTGATTCAAAGCTTCCCTCCACTGCATAGCCAAATGGTTTTTTTATCTATATTAAAGGAAGAGAAAGAGGGAGAAAGGGGGTCAGGGAGGGAGAAGAAAATGTATTTATTTATTACAAACCCTGGGACTGGCCATCTTGTATTGCACTCTTCCATTGCTTTGCTTCAACAAACAGAAACACGTGTGCCCATAGATTATTACTCACACCATTGCCATGTATATGGATATCTTGTGAATTAATTTGATCCCTGCAGTTTTTTTTAAAGCTCTTTTCAAACTGGCATTAAAAATGTCTCAAAAAGGTTGGGGGAGGGGATGAAGGCCTGGAATGACAGTCCTTATCACAGTGTATATAGAGACATTATATGTTCCAGTAATTGTTTAGGCCGGTGAATTAATGAATCCCTGGCTGTAAGTCTCTATTTGAAATGATTTCAGCAGTGTCTGGCTGCTGTTCTTCTTCTCTGGAAGGAAAAAAAGCCTGTGTGAGGCTTTGGAGAAGGGCCTTGAACTCTGCCATTCACTCCTTTTCAGCATATCAGCTGAGTCTAATTGCCAGAAAGCACACGAGACCCCAAAACCTGATTGTTCTTCGACCTCCTTTGAGGTTCTGAGGCATGAAAAGCAAAAAGGGTGGTGGTGGAGGGGAGAGCTCTCTTTTGATCTTCTGTTTCTCTCCCTCTCTCTCCCTCTCTCTCTCCCTCTTTCTCTCTCTCTTCTTTCCCCCCACCTTTTTTCTCCCCCCGTGCCTACTTCTACTCGAAGAATGACACATTTCTTTATGCGGCTATTTCTTCTCCTTCTTCACAAAGACAATAATTAATAAGGCCTTTATTTGAGAGAGAGAGGGAGGGAGAGGGAGAGGGAGAGAGAGCAGAATTGGTGTCACCCTCAAGGGTGGTCCTGGGCTGGGGGGTAAAAGGCCCTGGTGGGCTAGGAGGGGCATTTCTGGCCTCTATGTGGGTCAGGTTTAAACACCCTGACCTCAATTTTCACTCTCTTCCACTAATGAGCCAATTCGCACGCTGATACAGAATTATACACGGGACGGAAGACAAAAGGAAGACGCTGTCGTTGACCCTTCAAAGGGATGGGAAGCATTGTCATCTTTGCGGCCATGACATCACTGGTCCTTAATCTCTCTCTCTCCCTCTCTTTGTATCCGCTGATGAAGAATGACCACAAACTTAAGCCCGCGTTCCCTGCCTCTTATTTGCTGAGGTGTCAGGAAGTCACCGTGTGGGCTGGGAGGGGGCGGCCAACCTCTTGGTGTCTCGCTTGTGTGTGTTTGGCCATGCGGGCAGCCTTGTTGCACTGCTCTGAAGGCTCTGCTACACTGCCTGATTGCCAATTGTTTGAGATAAAGTGGCGCTATTTGTATCAGCTCTATTTCGTCAGCTTATCAAGCCGACTCCTCAAGAAGGCTCTCCTCTCCTCTCCTCTCCTCTCCTCTCCTCTCCTCTCCTCTCCTCTCCTCTCCTCTCAATTTTAGGTTAATCATCATTTGAAAAGCAGCTGCATCCAACATAGTATCCTTCTAACTGTACTTGAATAGTGACAATGGATGAAAGCTCTGGTTTGTATGGCATAACTTTATTTATTTTGTCTTTGGGGGTTCCAATGTTGTATCATAAAGTAAAGCAGGGACTTTTGGATCCCTTCTTTACAACCTACAGAAGGTCAGTGTGGGTGCAGTGAAGGAATGATGGACATACACACTTGCAACAGGCCTGGGTACCCGAAAGGGATGGGTGCAAATGTTTCCATTCAGCTTTGACAGGACTTTAGCAACATTTCCAAAGGTTTCCATATTCTAGAAAAAAGTAACTTGAGATGTCTGCAAAAACTGAAAGTAGGAGAAATCAGAACCAACAGATTCCCCCAAACCGCTTTGCTCTTGAAAGGCGGAATTTGAATCCTTGTGCATTCAAACATATTTGTGTGATAGATTTAGGAATGCCACCACTTTGATTCCCACAGGTTCCTCATTCTCAACAGCTCCCTGGCAACCAGGTACACCATGGTCTTTTCCATCTGGGAAGCAGCTGTGTTCACTGGATTTGGGCAATGCAGATGGGCAAAATTTCATTTCAGTTGGATTTTTACAAAGTTTGTATTCTTGAGAGAACAAACTTAAGATATAGCTATCCATTAGATGCATGAGGAAGTGAAATGGGCAGATTCAGCTTGCCCTACTATCTACAAGGGGTGCTCCTAGTAGGGCTGAGTTTTCGGCAAGTTTAAATTTTGCATCCAAAAGGGATGCAAAAGGGAAGAATTGGTCAGGGGTGGGGATTGGTATGCAAAATTAAGTGGCAATCAAAACATCATATTTTCCCTGCCAGATTCAAAATGCAGAGCTATGCAGGCATGGGGGCCAGGAAAGTAAAGTCTGATATCTCTCAGAAGCTATATAGCTCCTGGACCAGTCCTCAAGGCCAAGCTCCACAAATCTTCCCAGCCCAATGGAGCAGCACCTACAGGAGTGTCCCTTTATAGAGCTGCTTAAGTTTTCCCTCAACTCATTGACAGTGCTGGTTAGGGCTTATGGGACTTGGGTGCCAAAACTTTTGCAGGGACACAAGCTGCCCACTCCTGCGTTATGCAAAGTCAGATCATTGGACCAACTAACCCAGAGTCATCTTTTTTGCACCAGAAGGCATCATCCCTTCAGACCTTGGATCCCATCCACTTCTTTTGCCTGGAAACAGATTTCCGGTACCATGTCTTAATGTTTTACCAAATAGATGTATAGCAGTACTGCTACTCATATGGCCCAATTTAGGCAGTCACCCTGTGATGGGTTTTGATTCACTGGTTGAAGTCCTGCCCGGCGCCTGGGATTCAGCCTAGGAATCTGCCTTTCCACAGTGTGTTTTTGACACAAAGCTATGGCACTTCCCTTGCCATGAGTAGGGGCAAGTAATGAAAGTGGGGCTTCTCAAAGCCTGTGGAAAAGCACACACTCCCAGGTAACTGAACAAGCTGACATAGTGCGCAAATGCTTCCCTGAGCCCCTGATACATCCCAAAGGAAAGAACTGACCCTGCACTCTGTCTTGGGTTTCTCTCTTTCTCCCTCTCAATCACATGTGCTGTCGGGTTGCTGCTGCTGCTGCTTG